TTTTTTGATTTTTAATTAATTTATTAATTTATTTCATTTTTTAACCCAAATAAAAAGATCGCGTGCTGCTATCTTATTTTCAATAATAAAACGGAAAACCGAAAAAAAAAAAAAAAAACTAGGGCACTTGCGAAGGATAAAACTAAACACTTATTCACTGTATGTCATTAGGTACAACCCTCGACGTTTTTGTTGCTCCATGGGTATCTTTTCTTTTTAAAAAACACTATTAGAACTATACTTAATTTTAATGTATTGAAGTGGAAAATCGAATGTTGAGACTTGTAACATAATCCTTGAAAGATTGTCAATTTGTTCTCATAAGCCACTAGACGGATTTTACTAGGCCCACTAATTCCATTGATTTGTCTATACAACTTTGTTGTGCGGGCAAAGTTAAATCGCCTTATTTATCACTACAGTGTTGGGAATAATATCATGGATCGATAGGCAAAATTTCAATCTATATAGAATGATTTATCATCCTCTTTGTATATTCCCATGCCATTATTGCATGCTATAACATAAACAGGATTAAAAATGATTTGATAAAAAAAAGAATTTGCTTGGTTGGCGTAAATGTATTAATAATAACTTAGAACGTTACAAATATCAAGTAAATCTTGTCAAGTCCAACAAAAGGTGAAGCTTTACCTAGTCTTTCTTCACGCCCACTTTAATGCGTTTTCAAAACGCTACGATTTCGTCTCACCGAAAACGCATCGCAAGCTTCGCGTCCACTCTAGCGTTTTCAAAAACCCAGATACCATCGGAAATAATGCTTCGAATGCGGAAACTGAAGTACCGGCGAAAGTAACACCAGCGTTTTCAAAAGCCTCCGTTTTCACGAAGACGCATTAATGCGAATGGGGCCTTCATAAAATCTATTCTTACTTTTGTATTATCAGAACATAGAAGTATCTCGGACCCGACAGACTTACCAACTGGTTCACTCGACTTGATTTTCAAAATTCTTTTACCAACCAAAATGTCTATAATGATTTTTCATTTAGTAGCGATTGTCGACGCTTCATCTAAGAAATTTTCCAATCTTTATACTTGGTATTAGGCATCCATTGGAAAACACGCACCTTTCGAGAGAAAATACTGATTTCTTGGAGTGCGTATAGTTGAGCGTAGTATATGGGAGCGCGCGCAGGTTCATTTACATCTGACATCCAAATTGAAAGCTTTTTGATAGGTAATGAGTCCATTAGATGTTTCATTTCTGAAGCGTATCTTTCTTTCGTTCGTTCCCTCTTGTTTTCTTTCTTAATTCTTCTATATATTTGTTTATTTGCTTGTTTATTCTAATCGTTCAGTCATTCACTCTGATGTTTTTTTGTTGTTGTTGTTTTTTTACGCGTCATTTAATTCATTTTTCAATTCAAGTATTAATTATTACCTCATTCAATCTATCGGTCGATTTTTTTTTCTTTCTTTCTTTCTTTTTTTTTATTTTCTATTTTTTATTTTTTATTTTTTTAATTATTATTTTTAATCATAAGATCGTTATTAGGTTTTAGCTAAAAAGATAAGGCCAAATATAGAAATCAGCACTGTACGTCGTCGGTCAGTGAGTGTGAGTCTTGGCACATTTCTTATTCTTCTAAAGAAACATTATTTTACCACACGCAGACCATATCAGATCAGTCAATGTCAACTTATCCATTTTGTTATCGAAAAACATATGTGTTAACGAGAATTAAACGCTGATCATCATCTATTCCTATATCAAGCTGCCTGAAAAAAAATTACGAATCAATATATATATTTATTTATTATATAGACATGAGTGTGTTATTGGGAAATACGCCACTCGTATTTTTCGTACGAGCTACATCCGGGACCTGAGTAACATATCTTCACTAATGAGGATATCGATGACGTCACTTGCGATGTTTTCCGGGACATGTTTCGATTAACTTGAGTAGTTTTTCTTTGTGGATTTGTCTATATAATAAAAAGATATGAAGTTTATCTTCTCGTGTTGAAAAATACTTCACCACTCGAAGATAAACTTCATATCTTCACGCGACCATGTAATATCCTCTATATATTTAGACTCTTTCCTTTACAATCAATATTGTCTCTGCTCTCGTGAAAGAACTCTTCATTACTTAATTAGGGTTTTCAGGCAATATGTACATGAATCTTATCCTTCATCAGGCTGTTTTCAAAATGCTCTAAAGAAATTTCGGGATTCATATTTAAATTCTGAACAAGCAATACTCTTGAAGAAGTCTTCCTGTCTTAATTATAGTCTTAGGGGTCACTGGTCACTGTTGAGATTGGGTGTGCAGGGGTCACTGGTCACTGTTGAGATTGGGTGTGCAGGGGTCACTGGTCACCGTGGAGATTGAGTGCGCACGTAACCAGTGATTATTATTAGCTTAAGAGCGTTTGGTCATTGTTTTCACCATTTAGATATAGTTATAAAGTAATGTTTAAAGAATGAGTGGCCGTGCTATATCTGATCATAACGTAAGAACAATGCAGCGAACTGGAATTTCAGTAACATTCATCTTGCATTTTAGATTTTTTTTTATTATTTTTTTTTTTTTTCTTCTTTTTTTCTTATTTTGTATTTTGAATTTCTTTTATGCATATTTCTAATAAGTCCTAGTACGTTTTTATATAATATTTTTGATTATTTATCATTATTTCTCCTTCTTTCTTTTACTTTTATTTTTTACATTAAAAATCCAGCTAAATCAAGCCTCCGTCAATCCGACTACCTCATTTCCTGTAAGCGTTCGGTTTTCGGCCTACAAATTACAAGCCTACATATTTCTTTTTCTTCGTCAGACTACGTCATATACATGTGTTAATCGTAATCGTACTCAGTGTCTACTTCTCATACTTACCACCTCTTATAAATTCATGCGTTCATCATAAACTATCATTTTTGCAACGCACACAAGCCCTGCTTCCCTCAGAAAATAATCACTTGAAAAAATTGCCCATACATTTGGAATATTTGCTCTTTTCGGTCTTTTTCCTCTCTTTCTAAAGCAAAAGGTTGTTCTTAAAAGTAAAGTTATATAGCACAAGTAAACTGCGTGACAAAACATCCTAAATGACCCGTAAATCTTCTGTTTTTTCACTAACTAGTAGTTAGCGTGTTTTCGAGGCTACGAAACCTAAGAAACCATAAGAGGCGAATGTATAGGCCAACAGATGGTATGAGCTTATAAAATCAGCAAAAATACGGTTCTAAATTTTAACAAATTCCTATGAATTATATACCAAAATGTTCAGGAAAGCCCGGGGTTTTCAAATCCACTTCTGTTTTTTTTTTTTCTGTCTTATATCAAGAAGAGACGATTTTCTAGCTTGATCCCGGTTATGTCATGCATTTTCTCTTGTAAAATACTTCCAATACCGTACATTCAACTCAAAAGTACGGTGGTTTTTTTCAATAGAATTCAATCTAAACCATATAATACAGTCCGAGAATAGTTGAATTAACTGAATCCACTTCTGTTTTTTGTCTTGATAGTCATTATGTTGAGAAAAGATCCAAAAACCGCGTTTTTGAGACATAATTTGTATGGGCTCACATGAGGGGGCGTGAGCTTGAAATCGTAGCTGATCTAATGTTAGCAGATTTTTTCTGATGTAAAGTTTAAATTATGTATTTATAGGTAAATTTCAGGATAAAAGTAGGGTGGTATAAAATTAGATCGAGTACTGTTAAAAATGTATCCTATTTAATGCAATAAGGTTCTCATAAAGGAGTGTTAATAGTTCAAAGGCTGGGGGACTATGGAGATTTTACATTTTGAAAGCCCTCCGTCCTCCCCTCAAACACAACATGTGAACCCCCAAACTACGCCGAGACTTTCAGTGGACACAAAATCTAAATACCAAACTCATCTTCGATTCCAACCCATCCCCCCACCCCCTCGCCCCTCAAATTGCACAGAAGAAAATGGATGCCCCTCCAAATTCCCATAGGAAAAAGGACACTTCATAAGAACTTGTTCCGCAGCGAAAAGCAATCTCGTTAGAAATCAAAAGTTTCCTATTTTTCCAGGTTTTTTTTTCTTTTTTTTTTTTTTTTTTTTTGTTTGTCTGGCTATCTTCAATAGATTAAACCATAAATCAAACTTAAGGTCAACGTTTTTGACTGTAGTGGTTGAGTAGAAATTTCTTGCCGGATAGATCGATAGGGCGTTTGAAGCGTACAATAGATAACATCTGACATATTATTAATTGCCGACACTAAGAACCAGCCATACTGTCTTTTGAATAATTTAAAGCTTTTTATTCACTAGTCTGCTTTATTCTAAATGTTGAGTAAGAACTCGATAACAAAGTTGTTAAAGCGCGGGAATAGCCCCAATTAGGTTGAATTAGCCTTTTTAATCAATCCTCACAGGAAATTTGGAGGCTTGTTTTCAGGCAGGCTGCAAAACGATTAAAATATATTGTAGTATTAACAATGCATACGTACGTCAATATACTAAAGACTTATACAATCAGTATTCATCTTATACTGATGTTATTTCTTCTTTTTTATTGTCTGTTGTAGCATTTACTTTAAAAATTAAAATATTTTATGAACTAATAATTTTTGATACTAATAACGTAATATACAGTGATTCTCTTC